AAGGTAGGCAGGGAATATTTATATACAGAAAACAGAGTGCTGTACAGAAATAGCTTGATTGGTTACAGCCCAGCATTTGCCTTATTTGGACATGGTCTGAGCAGTTGAAAGACGGCGACTGGCTAAAATTCAGCTGCTATAATTGGTTGTGACTCAGCTATTGGTTATAAAAGTATACACCTGTTAGGCATTATGTCTGTTTACATATTAAAGTAGGTTGTGATTCCTTACATAGGGGCTCAATGTATGGAGGTAGCCTCAGGCCACATATAAGTTACTTTGATACAGGTAATCGTGGTCAATTGACCACTAAAAGTTAGGCTATCAGGTGCCCCTTGATACCACACTGTGGGAAAGGCACATTTCCTTTGTGGCATGCTTCCTAAATATTCACAACTTCAATCTGATCAGGAGAATACTGCAGACAAACTCAAATTCAAGGACTTTTTCTTTTATTAATTATAGAGAAGTGGGTTACAAGTGAGGGAGGGTAACTATATAAGTAGTCTGCATGCAGGTGAAGTTTGGGCTTCTAACTGGCCCTTACTTCCCCTGGTGGTTAACCAGGTACACTTTGTGTTGTTCAAGGACCACTATTCTTCAAACATCTCAAGATTATAAAAGACAAGGTAAGACCAAGAAACTACTAAAAGTTGGTCAAGACTAAGTGTACTGTAGTATCCTGGGTTGGATTCTGAAACAGGAAAAGGACATTAGTGGAAAACTGGAGATTTCTGAATAAACTCTGTAGTTTATAATATTATATCCATGTTGCTTTCTTAGTTTTGACAAATGTCCGAGTATGTAAAATGCTAACATTAGTGGTTTTAACACGGCAACCCCAAAGCTGAGAGGGCTTGCATGTAAGGTTCTTTACTTATCCCAAATAAGTCACCCGGAAGTCCAGCAGGGAAATACATTTGTTTATTGGAACTTACGAGAGGCACTGATGGCAGCGGGTCAGTGAGAAAGGGTCTGCCCATAACCAATAGTGCCTGGTTAGTGCTGAAAGAAATTGCACTTTGGGGCAATAGTGTAAACAGTTTTATAGGCAAACAAGTCAATCAAATTTCTATCCCATGTTTAAAACTATATTGATTAAACATAACAACCACATTGCTTTCAACTCTGCTCAATTACCCACACCCCCATGACTCGTTACTGGGAATATGCACATCCTTCAGAGACCAGCCTTGGCCAGGGGTTGCTCCTGAGGGAAGGGGGAAAGGAGAAATAGTCCACATCCAGACCATACCCGACACTTCACTTCTACATTGTCTTTTTCCACCTTCACAATCTTCACGTAACATTGATCTTTCACAAGTTCCCTAAGATGGAAACATGAATCAAACATGGCATATGGCACAGGATCCAAACAGCAAAATTGCTGCAGTGATTTTAACACCCATGTTTACCTTCCACCAGAAACAGAAAGTTTAGTGATAGAAGGGGAGTTTTAGGCTAAGGGTGATAGGATAGATGTTTGAGAGGAACAAACGTAAATCCCCATAACCAAGTAAGACACATGCAACATTCCTGTCCTGTGACAACACCATGACACTTTGTGAGGCCTCACTGGCCTGGAATACCATGCTCTATCAGACCTGGGAGCTCTCTTGTCCACAATATGAAAGGAGAGTGGGAGTGTCCTGAATCGCCTCTTAGAAATGTTAATAATCCCCCTTTTGAGTATTTATTACACTTAACAGTGTTTATACATTTTCCCATCACCATAGGACCAGGGCAATCTCGCCTCTGCCTCCCAAAGTGCTAGGATTACAGGCGTGAGCCACCATGCCTGGCCATCTCACAGTTTTTATCAGTAAGGCCCAGCAGAAGTGTTAGTCAAGCTTGCCATAAAGTAAAGGGAGTTTACAAGGCCTAAGACATCCATGCATTACACAAGTTATACAAATCACAAAACTTACAATTACATTGATATAAAGGTTATATAAATCACAAAACTTACAATTACATTGACACTATACTATTCAAACCTGTGACTACTAAGAAAAGGGAGTAAATGGGGATTTACATCTTTCTGTTTATTGAGCATAGTCTGCAGGGAAATCAAGGATCCCCTGAAGCAACTTACTGGGAGTGCATAGGAGATAAGGGGAAGCACACCTTTTATTAGCTCTCAGGAATGCACAGGAATGCTTGAACCCTTGCCATGTCCTTCTCGAGGGGTTGTGGCAATACTTACAGACTAGCAGGTTTCTGTATCAAGAGGCTGACATATCCATTTCTCAGAAAGAAACATTTTATAGGTGTTAGGTCACACTGCCCGCCAGGGACCTCCAGAATGTTAGGTCAGGCCCGCTGGGGATGTGGATATTTGCTATCCTGTGCCACACAAAAGTTGCAAAGAATTACACAGAAGTTCGATTGGAAAATATAGTTTATTTAGAACATAAATTAGAGAGAGAAAGAGAGAAAGAGAAGATTCACCTCCCTAAATTAGGGGAGAGGACCAAAGCCAGGAAACATGGCAATGGCCAAAGCTCAAAGAGCACATGGCCACACCAGAGTCTAGTAAGGCAAGGTTGCTTGAGGTTGAATACTTTTAATCCTTCCCTTTGGTTAAGGAAAGGTTGTTGTTTCCTACCCCTCCTTTTTTATTTTAAAGATGTGGGGCAAAATTCAGGGTTAGGTATACAAATGTTCATCACGCAGGTACCCTTGTTGATGAGGTGTGCCCCCCCGCCAAGGGGAAGGTTGTTAAGATGATTGAATGTTGGTCTGCTCCATGTTATCACAAAGGTAAGCAAAGGTATTGATATCAGATGATGGACAGCAGGCAGATGGGTGGGCTAGTCATATGATTGCTGCCATGGTTGTGGGGGGTCTGTGTGACCTAGGACACGAAGAGCTGATTTGGTTAACTTGGGTCTTACGGGTGAAGGCAAATTCTTGAAATAGAAAAGCTAACTAGTACAAAACAAGCTAGGGAGGGGGGTTGTAAAACAATTATCAATAGCTACCTCTGAGAAACCAGTTCTGTCCTTAGTGATTAGAGGGTAAGTTACGTGAACTGTCCAAAAAACATGAAATTTAGGCAATGTTAAAATGGCTGCTCATTGGGTATATTAAATCCATGTTATGCCCGTTCAATAGGGACTTAGGAACAGAAGCCATGTCTGTATCTTAAGCCATGGCAAGATGGCAGAACCCCAAACCATTACCCATAGGAAGGGGTGCTTCAGAAGGGATGTGTAGGACAACTGAAGCAAGATGATATCAAGGTTGTTTGACCTAAGAGCAGGATTTACAGTATGTACCTCCTCCCACTAGGAACAATTGATAAAAGGGACTTAAAGGCCTTCCCAGAACTAGGATTAGTCAGAAATCAACAATAGCAGATTAGCATTCAAGACAGAGTTGCTTTGATCGCCACACATAAACAATTTTATCTTATTATGATTTAGCCCTAAATTGCGAGTGTAAGCTAAAAAGTGACTGAGGCAGATCCCAATTGATTTTGAAGTTAATTTTTCTAAGATTGAGATTGCACCTGGGAAAAGAAACATAAGTTACGATAGGCTATGTTGCCTGTGCATTTTACAAAGAGGGTTTTGTGGACGTCAATATTTAAAGGAAAAAGAGCAAGCAGGAGTGGGAGGAGGCGCGCGGGAGTGGGGGGGGGCGGTGGCTAGGCAATGAGGCAAATGGTTACATTCTTGTGAGTCTTTGATTAGCATTCATTTTACATGTGAAAAGGGAGGGGCAGAGGAAAAGATAAATTAAGCTCCGCTATTCCTCCGTGTGTGTGAGGGAGAGGGATAGGGGGAGGGGGAGGGGGGGGACGGTCAACCCAAAGAGGCTGATAACCAGAGCGAGCATTGTGTATACTTGCAAGGGGACTCTTGGGAAACAAACTGAACAATTTATGTGCTTTTACAATATAAACGCCTTCAATGCCCGTATAATCCTACTAGTTGGGCACTATCATCAGCCTTCACAACCGAGGAGTGGACCGAGAGCAGGCCATAACGTCCGAGGGACCGCTTCAGGGAAGCTGAGCTGCTTACAGGCCCCGCAGCAAGGAGCCCAGCTCCAGCTCTCCGCCGCGCTCCCTCTGCGCATGTGCATCCCCGCCTTCCCCTCCTGGCTCATCCTTCCCAGTCTCGCGTCCCTCGTGGGAAACAATCTGTGGCCTCCGGGTTCGCGCGGCGGAAAAGGACGGGTGAGCCACGAAGGGTTGGGTGAGGGTCGAGGGACCCCGGCGAGGACCGGGTTGCGGGCGGGCGGCAGCAGGAACCCAGCGGTGGGGCGGGACCCCGGCGCCTGCGGCGTCCGCATAGTTAAAGGAACGGCGGGGCGGAGGCGTCTGTCAGAAAGAGCTAGGGTCCAGCGAGACAACCCTAGTGCCGCGGCTCGAGGGGTCGCACGTGTCCAGCCCCTACGCCCAACGGGCGGCGCCGTCGTGTGGCCAGACGTGGGAAATGCGCGTGCGTGCCGCGTGCGGCCGGCCCGCAGGGAGGGCGCGGAGCTACGGGGGTGTGTATGGGGGGGCGGACAGGGCGCGCTCAAACGTGTGTGACGTGCAGGCTATGTACGCGTGCGCGTGACTTTGTGACGTGTGCGTGTTGCGTGCGCTGGGCCTACGGGGAGAGGGCGGGGCTACGGGGAGAGCTACTGCGCCAGGTCTGCTACAAATGAATTACTCAGACAAAATAACCGACGGGAGACTCGGTTTCCTTCTCTGTAAAATAGGGATATCAAGAATACTTGCTTCCTTGTATTGTTTTGAGCGCTTCATTTAAAAAATTTGTTTGTTGCTTATGTGATAGAGTTCCAGGAAGACGTCCCTTGCTGCTGGAACTTGGACCGGCCCTAGGGCCTCAGTGTTTGTGAAGTGGGAAGGAGAAGGGGCTGACCTAGCTAGTCACTATAAGGCCCTTTCCTGGTTCTGACGTCCCTATATCCTAAGTTATTTATTTGTTAACTGTTCATTTGTTATTATGCATAATCATGACACGGTATCCTGAAACCATCGAAGTCTGTGTGCCGGTGGAAGGTCTGGGACAAATTTAAGAAGCGAGAGGTGAGCTGGAGTTGAGAGTGGTGGGCACGCAGGCTGCAGAGGGAATGTCACCCCTTTGGAGAGTTTGTGAGGGCATGGTTGGGTTTAGCCACAGCCAAGGAAATGCTGTCATTACCCCTCCCTAAACACCCCTACACCCTTCATATCCTGTTCATTTTTTACGCAGGCTAGCTGCTCTCAGTGGCCTATCCCAGGGTGACATCTAGAAGAGAGGCTGAGCTTCCTGCTCTTCTGGCTCATCCCTGCTCCACGGGATGGTAGTACAGACAGGTCCTCTCTGGGTTATCTATTTCTATCTTATTTGAAAGAAGGAGGGTAAAAATAAGTCTGAGAAGGTGACTGATTCAGATCCTGTAATTTGTGACTGGCAGAACCAAGGTTAGAAGTCAGGTCTGCAGATTTCCTGGGCCACTGCTCTCCATTTTATTACTTTTGGATCAAAGTTAGTTTCTCACTAAGCGAGCCTTTTGAGGAATTGTTAGCAAGTTAAAACAAACAATTTTTTTTTTTTAAAACAGACAATTCTTAAAAATTTATCTTACCTTACACATCCCCATCCCTTTTTCAGAGGTTTCTTGGATTGTCTGACCTCAAGGGATAAATGGTTTTTTACAGGTAAATAGGTAAACAGTATGGCCTGAGGTCAGTTTTTTGTTCCTACAACAAATTTTGACAAATCCATAGTGTTTTGTCCTTTAGATTACTGTAATTTGTTAAACTCATCTTTTCGTGTTTTTAATTTTTCTGTGTCACAGAACCTAAATTGGTAATAAATCAATAAGAAACAAATGTTTACATTCACTCAGTGAAAAGTGTAATGTCTAAGTTGAACATATATCGGAGCCACACATGGACATGTAAGTATCTTGTGTGTAAAGCTGTATAGACAGGTGAATCCAGAAACTACAAGGCAGGCCAAGTCTCATCTGACATTTTCTTCCTTCTCCTTCAGCTCTCTCTCCTCCACTAAAAGCAGAAAATGAACGAATCCCAGGTGAGTTTTCTGTTAATTTATTTCCACTTTGTTTTAAAATGGGTTTTCTGAAGTTTATAAGGATTTATATTTTTTAAATGGAAAAATAAAAATAAGAAACAAATTTACATTAAGGGAAATAAAGCTAGAATAGCAAATACAAAGTGGGGCAGTTGGCAAATTAAATGTGGGACTTTTAATTTTACATAATTATCCAAGTAATTGTAACATTTTCTCTGGTCTTTCTATTAACAACCCTGATATAAATGCAATAAATTATCTATAATCATTTCTTGGTAGAAAAAGAGCACAGTGCCAGAGCAGAATTCAGTGTACGTACTTTTCAGGGAACCAAACATTGAGGTTTGAGTGACAAGGTCTCTGATGATCCTGCTTTATCCAGAAATAAAGCCTTGAAGATGTGAAAGAATGGAGGGTCTGCATTTTCTGAAAACAGAAGTGTCTGTGTCAGCTCATTTGTATTTCTAGGTTGAGTCACAGCCACGTCCGGTTTATGCTCCTGCATTTCTCATTTCCATCTCAACCTGATGAATGCAGCATTGCCCCTCACCACCACTCACTTGATTCAGTTTTGGAAAAGGCCACCAAATCATAGTCAAGGCCAGTTGATGTTTTTGTCTTTGCCTTACTCTACCATTCTGCAGCATTTGATATTTTTAACCAAGGTCTCTGTTTTAAAAGTCTCCTCTGTTAGTGTCTCTGATACCACCCTCCGAGCTATCCTTTCCTAACTTCAATTTCCTCTCCAGCCTTCATGAAGCCCTCTTTGCATTTTGCCCCAGATATTGCTTATCACTGATTTCCATCCTTAGCCTCCTGCTCGTCAGTCTATTTTTCTGGATTGATTTCATGAGTTTTGTCCCCCCTCCCCTTAATTAAGTGCTTTTGAATTAGTAAAATGTTAACATATTCAAAAAGTGATAGAAAAGATGTAAGTAAACATTTATACTTCCATCCTCTGTTCCTGTTGCTCTTCTAGGTAGGGTGACATTTATTTATCAACCAAACTGAAATATTTTCACTGAGAGTGAAAGAAGTTCTATAAATAATTATGCTGGGACAATTGGCATGTATCGGGGACAGTTCTAGACAAACTATGGTCACCCTACTGACTACAGATTTTTTTTCTAGTTTCTTGTTTATCTTCCCAGTGTTTGTTTATCCAGTTAAAAGAAAATATGGCCTGGGCGTGTTGGCTCAAGCCTGTAATCCCAGCACTTGGGGAGGCTGAGGTGAGGGAATTGCCTGAGCCTACGGGTTCAAGAACAGCCTGGGCAATTAAAAAATTAGCCGGACGTGACAGCACGCACCTGTAGTTCTGGCTTCTTGAAAGACTGAGGCGGAAAGATCACCTGAGCCTAGCTGGTTGACGCTGAGGTGGCCGTGAGTGTGCCACTGCACTTCAGCCTGGGCGACGGAGTGAGACTCCAACTCGAAAAAAAAAAAAAAAAGGAAAATATGTATGTATATTCTTATTTGACCCCTCCATTTACTTAAAACCTGTTATTCTTAGGGCTTCTCAAACTTAGATGTGCTTGTGCATCCCTGGTGTCTTGTTAACTTGCCGATTCTGATTTAGTAGATATGTACGGGGGCCCTTAATTCTGAAGTTCTAATAAATTCCCAACTGATGCTGTTCAAGGAACCACCTTCAAGTAGCAAGCTCATGCTCTCTTTTCCGTTCTTTATTTTTCACTTAGCAGCATGTTCTAGGAATTTCTGTGACAGGACATGGATGATATCTTCTCTCTTTGTCACAATTACATGGTAATTCAAGTGTAGATGTTCATAGTTTATTAAACTACTTCCAACCTTTTGCTGTTGCGAACCATGCTGTAATAAATAATTTTGTACATTTATAACTGTATGTATAGGTTTTTGTATTAGATGAATTCTCAGAACATGATCAGCACAGTGGGACTGCCTGTCCTAGAGATAGTATCATTTTGTTTTCCCATTGGTAATTCATGAGAGTCCTTATTTCTTTACAGTTTCTTCCACAGAATATGTGGTTCACCTTTTGGATTTGGACAACTGTTAGATTAAAAAGTGGTATTTCATATAGTTCGTTTTTGCAGTTTTCTTCACTGAGTGTGGTTGGATATCTTTTTATGTGTCTAATAGTGTCTTATACTTATTTTTCTGCGAGCTTACTGTTAATATATTTTGCCTATTTCTCTTGGATTTCTGGTCTTTTTGTCCCCAGTTTCTAGTTACCCCTTTATTATTAGAGACAACAGCGCTTGCTTATTATATGAGTTGCAAACCATTATTTTTTGGAGCATATATCATTTGTTTTTTGATAATTGTTCATGGTGTTTTTCCTTATGTGGAAATATTTGGTTATTTTTGTTTTCTAGTTTATTAATCTTTTCTGTATGACTTTGGACTTATAGCACATGGAGACATAGTTTTAAAAGTCCTTTTCATTTCATGACTGTAAATCATCTGCCTATGTGTAATACTTGTATGTATTTTGTGTTTAAATATTTAATCCATTTGAAGTTTACGTTGGTATGTGAGAACTTAAAAATTAAATTATCACAGTATCACTGCATGTACTACCTCCTATCCTGTGTCCTATTGTTATATGTTTCTTCCCTATGTACTTTAAACCTCACAAGACATCTTTAGTATTGTGGCTAGACAGTCAATAGGCTTTTATATTTACTTAGATATTTGTCCTTTCCTGTGCTCCTCTTCCTTCTTGCAGTTCCATGCTTCATCTATAATCATTTGCCTTCAGCCCAAAGAACTTCATTTATTAGTTCTTACTGTGCAGATCTTTTGGTGACAAATTCCGTCCTTATTTTTCCTTAGAGTTTTTTTCCCATCAAGATTTTGTGGGAAAGTTTGTTTTTGAGTATTCAGTTGCAGAATACACAAGTGTTTTTTCTTTCAATTCTTTGCCTGGTTTTAAGGTCATATAGGTCCATTAAATAGATCCTTTGTTGTCTCTTTCTATTGTATGAGATTTCTCCTTATTTTCAATTGTGTGTCCTTATTTATTTGGTACCGGTTTATTTTTATTTACTATAGCAGGACTTTGAAGCTTAGGATGTGAATATCTTCTTCCAGGGAGGGTTTACATATTTTTCTAGCAGACAGCTAAGGGTGTCAGCCATTCTGAGTGATTTTCTTACAATACAATAAATTCCTAGGACTGGAATATGTAACTCAGTCACCCTTCAGTTCTTCTGGTCCCAAACCATAATCTTTAGGCTCTCAACTCCAATTTTTGTTTCTGGAGTCACATGAGTGAGTCTGTCAACAGTTCTTAGCTTCTCGAACTCTTAGTAGTTCTTGTGGAATCAACAGATGCCTTAAATGTTAGACTTGCCTTTCTAGGTCTCCTTCCAAATTTGATACTGTACTTCTTCACTGTTCAGTTAGATTTTGATATGTTAAAAGAGACTTAAAAACATTAAAATTTGTTTCTAGTTCTCAGTACATGTGTATGAATGATGAACAGGCCAGAGGGTGGTTAGTCCTAAACCTCTCATTTTTAGAAGTAGAACTTCCCTCAGATATATTTTCACATGGCATGCAGTGTCGTTCTAAATGTTTTCTTCCAGAAACCAATTATATATTTCACACCAATTATTAAAATGTAGTATCCTTTTTAAATTAAACTGAAGTTGTATTTTCATCACCTATTAGTACATTATATACAAGGGAAGATTCAAAAAAAGTGTATAAAAAATTGTGTATTTAATCTTACATATTTAAATTTCAGTCACCTTCAAAGTACTCTCTTTTTGATGCAATACACTTGTTGAGCTGTTTTTTCCACAGCTCAGAACAGTTTTTGAATTCATCAATTTTGATATCTTTTAGTGCTTGTATCATTTCTTGTTTTATCTCTTTCACATCGACAAAACGTTTTCCTTTGAGGACATTTTCATCTGGGAAACTAAAAAAACTTGCTTAGGGTGAGATCAGGTAAATAGGGAGGGTGGGGTATGGGGATCGTTCCGTTTTTGGTCAGAAACTGCTGAACATTCAGCGCCATGTGGGGAGGTGTATTGTCATGGCGGAGGAACTAGTCACCTATTTGCCACAATTTGAGATGTTTCCTCTACAAATCATGACACAACCTTCTCAAAACTTCCAGATAAAAACTTTGTTTGACCATTTGATCCAGAGGAACAAATTTCAAGTGTACTTCCAGGGGCCTACCATCCAAAGACAATTCAATTTTTGGGGGGGGTCCCCCCTCGTATGCTTGGATTCATTTCTGGGTCCTGTCTTTTGTCCTACTGATCTATTTGTTTTCATAAAATTCTCTCTTGTTTTTTCTTCCAAGACTTTCTTAACTATTATTGAATTATTTCATTGACTATTTTCTCTCAATCCTTATATCTGTTCAATAATAGTCAAGTTATTTCAATCCTTATATCTGTTCAATAATAGTCAAGAAATTATTTTTTCTTATGAATTTAACTTTTAAAATTAAGATTGTCCTGCCTTCTCTGCTAATAACAAGAACTAGGCTATAGAAATGACATTACATTACTTTAAATATGTATTTTTAGTTTTGAATATTTGATCTTTATTAGCATGTTTTACCTCCATTTTTCAGGTTTTGCTTTATAGCTATAGTATGCCTTAGTCAAATTAACATAAATTCTTTCCCAATTTTACAGTACCCATCTTTCCCAATACTTATATCTGTTGTCTCAGCATGGGCTCACAGGTTATCCATCTCTAACCTGTAGTATGGACAGGGAAATTTATTACCTCAACAAATTATAAAGTCATTTGAAAATGTTCAAAAATGTAAATTCCATGCAGAAACAGTATATACATTTTATATTCTTTTATTTTAAATATTATAATTTTCTATTTAGAATGAACTATTTTTTCTCAAGGCACTGTTAAAAAGAAAGCAGTGACCTCAACAAGAAACTTAAACTACATCTTGAAATCAGAGAAGCCTGAACAAAAGCTTTAGGATACAACCAAGAAGTCAGGCTGAAACAACTGTTTTTTGTTTTTTG